TTTATTACAGGGAATATATGCATTGTATCTGTATTGTACAGGAAGCTGTATGATTTATTTTACAGTAGCATGTAATCAGTTTGAGATTTTTTTTTCTATGACAGAAGAGAATTTTCATTAACTTGAAGAATGTTTGGTTTAGGAAGATGCATGTATATAAACTTTTTTATGGATTTTCTGTACATTTGATGAGAATTTTTTGTTTTATCAGAGCAACTGATAGAAAATATGCACTCAAGGGTGCAATCTATTTAGCAATGTGGCACTAGAGAATATATAGCAATTTCATGGATTTTCTTCTGTTGATGAGAATCCGTTTAATCATAGCAACTGATAGCAAATATTTACAATTAAGGGATCTTATTTATTTAGGGCTACTTGGGCCTTTTGTCATTAAAGAGGCATTGGTACAGATTTGAAGCTAATATTTTTCAAAATTGTCAGTATAATATCATAACTTTAATAGCATTTCAGACTGACATTGTTAAAGCGTGTTATGAAACTTCATTTATCATAAAATTATAAAAGAATGAATTTTGGGTGTGTATGATTGCTGTACATTCTTGCATTTTCTCAAACTGAAATTCATCCTTAGTATTTAAAAAAAGTGGAAATTCTGTGGCATATCAATAGAACATATTAAAAGTGTAATCAAGAAAAAGTGATAATAAAAATGTAGAAAGCAAAAACCGATTCACCAGTGTTGTCAGTAAGTGTGCAGTGATGTGTGCAAAGTTAGCAAATCTAACAAGTCCAGTAAAAAGTAAACAAAAACAATAACAGACCTTGTGCCATGTTTACAAATGCAGGTGTTTGATGTAATGTTATGAAGAATATTGTTGTCGCTGAATTTTAAGAATTCCTGCACGTTCAAACCATTAAACTGATTTTTTTAAATTAAATCAGAAATTTAAAATAAGAAACAAAACTGCAATTTGAACTGTTGGTTGTATTCTGATGAAGGGATTCAAGTAACCCAAGAAGAATTGGAAAAGTGTCCATTACCTGTTGGGTTGTATTCTAAGAGAAGGGATGCAGATAACCAAGAGGAGTTGGACAATTGTCCAATACCTGTTGAGTTATATTCTTATGAAGGGATTCAAGTAACCCAAGAAGAATTGGACAAGTGTCCATTACCCTGTTGGGTGGAAAGTAAATATCCAAGAGGAGTTGGACAGGTGTCCAATACCTGTTGGGTTATATTGTGATGAAAGGATTCAAGTAACCCAAGAAGAATTGGACAAGTGTCCATTACCCTGTTGGGTGGAAAGTAGGTATCCAAGAGGAGTTGGACAGGTGTCCAATACCTGTTGGGTTATATTGTGATGAAAGGATTTAATTAACCCAAGAAGAATTGGACAAGTGTCTATTACCTGTTGGGTTGTATTCTAAGGAAGGGATGCAGGTAACCAAGAGGAGTTGGACAAGTGTCCAATACCTGTTGGGTGGAATGAAGGTATCCAAGAGGAGTTTGACAGGTGTCCAATACCTGTTGGGTTGTATTGTGATGAAAGGATTTCATTAACCCAAGAAGAATTGGACAAGTGTCCAATACCTGTTGGGTGGAATGTAGGTATCCAAGAGGAGTTGGACAGGTGTCCAATGCCTGTTGGGTTGCATTCTGATGAAGGGATTCAAGTAACCCAAGAAAAATTGGACAAGTGTCATTTCCTTGTTGGATGGAATGTAGGTATCCAAGAGGAGTTGGACAGGTGTCCAATACCTGTTGGGTTATATTCTGAAGAAGGGATTCAAGTAACCCAAGAAGAATTAGACAAGTGTCCATTACCTGTTTGGTTGTATTCTAAGAGAAGGGATACAGATAACCAAGAGGAGTTGGACAAGTGTCAAATACCTGTTGGGTGGAATATAGGTATCCAAGAGGAGTTTGACAGGTGTCCAATACCTGTTGGGTTGTATTGTGATGAAAGGATTTCATTAACCCAAGAAGAATTGGACAAGTGTACTTTACCTGTTGGGTTGAATGTAGGTATCCAAGAGGTGTTGGACAGGTGTCCAACACCTGTTGGGTTGTATTCTGATGAAGGGATTCAAGAAACCCAAGAAGAATTGGACAAGTGTCCATTACCTGTTGAGTGGAATGTAGATATCCAAGAGGAGATGGACAGGTGTCCAATACCTGTTGGGTTGTATTCTGATGAGGGAATTTAATTAACCCAATAAGAATTGGACAAGTGTCCAATACCTGTTGGGTAGAATGTAGGTATCCAAGAGATGGACAGGTGTCCATTACGTGTTGGGTTGGATTCTGATGAAGGGATGCAGGTATCCAAGAGGAGTTGGACAGGTGTCCAATACCTGTTGGCTTGTATTCAGATGTAGTGATGTAGATATCCAAGAGGAATTGGACAGATCCATACCTGTAGGGTTGTATCTGTTTTAAGGGATGTAGGTATCCAAGAGGAGTTGGACAGGTGTCCAATACCTGTTGGCTTATATTCTAATACAAGTTTATATGTATCCAGTAGGAATTGGACATGATTCAATAGACTTGTTGGGTTTCTCATCAAATGCTTGTTTTAAGTATCCAAGAAGGGTTAAACAGGTGTCTGAGATGTGTTGGGTTGTCTTCGTATGTGTATTGCATTTAGGTAAACACATTCCAGTATGAGGTATTTTTAAATATATATCCTAATTTGCCAGGAATAATGTGGATGGTAACAATATTTACTTCTCAAAAAAGCTATATTACAGAAAGTGTGAAAAAAGTGTGTTCCAAATCAAAGGTTTACAGTCTTGTCTAAATTTACCTGCAAACAATTAAACAGCCACAAATTTGGTATGAATCAAGAATTATAAGAAAAATCTCAATAAAGTTTTGGACATAAGCATTTATACCCAATAAGATTTAAACAGTTACTACCCAAAGAATGCTCTCTCGTATGTACACTTTTTTTATATCCAATAAGCAATATCCAAGAAGACTTGGACTTGACGTACCCAATATATAACCTAATGTATGTCCGTCTGTCTGTCCGTCCGTCTGTAAACTTTTCACATTTTTGACTTCTTCTCAAGAACCACTGGGCCAATTTCAACCAAACTTGCCACAAAGCATCCTTGCGTGAAGGGGGTTCAAGTTTGTTCAAATGAAGGGCCACGCCCTATTCCAAGGGGAGATAATTAAGAATTGGTGAAAATTTGGTGTCATCTTTTAAAAATCTTCTTCTCAAGAACCATTGGGCCAGAAAAGTTGAAACTTACGTGAAACCTTCATTACATAGTGTAGATTCAAGTTTGTTCAAATCATGACCCCCGGGGGTAGGATGGGGCCACAATGGGGTATCAAAGTTTTACATAGGAATATATAGGAAAATTTTTCAATAATCTTCTTCTCAAAAACAACAAAGCCACAATTAGTCATATTGATATGGAATCATCCTCAGGTAGTGTTGATTTAATTTTGTTCAAATCATGACCCCCGGGGGTAGGGAGGGGCCACAATGGAGGATCAAATTTTTACATAGGAATATATAGGAAAATTCTTTGAAAATCTTCTTGTTAAGAACAACAAAGCCACAATTAGTCATATTGATATGGAATCATCCTCAGGTAGTGTACATTCAAGTTTGTTCAAATAATGACCCCCAGGGGTAGGGCAGGGCCACAATGGTGGATCAAAGTTTTACATAGGAATATATATAGAAAAAATTCTGAAAAATCTTCTTCTAAAGAACAACAAAGCCAGAATTAGTCATATTGATATGGAATCATCCTCAGGTAGTGTAGATTCAAGTTTTTTCAAATCATGACCCCCGGGGGTAGGGTGGGGCTACAATGGGGGATCAAATTTTTACATAGGAATATATAGGAAAAATTTTTAAAGATCTTTTTAAGAACAGGAAAGCCATGATTAGTCATATTGATATGGAAGCATCCCTCAGTATTGCAGATTCAAGTTTGTTCAATGCATCCTCCAGTAGTAGGGTAGGGTCATAATGGTGGATCAAAGTTTTATGAAAGAAAATATATAGGAAATATCTTTAAAAATATTCTTCTTAAGAACAACAAAGTCTTAATTAGTCATATTGATTTGGAAGCATCCTCAGGTAGTGTACATTCAAGTTTGTTCAAATCATGACCCCACCCCACCCCCCAACCCCAACCCCCAGGGTAGGGTGTCAGACATCTTTAAAATTCCGTTTTAAAGAACAGCAAAACCATGATTAGTTATCTGAATATAGCAGCATCCTCAGAAGGTTTATATTCAATTTCATTCAAAATATGGCACCTGGGGGTAGGGTATGCTTAGAACAGGCCATCAAAGCTTTATATGAATATATAAGAGAAGAAATCTGCTGACGAAGAACAACAGGGCCATATTGACTCAGGTGAGCGTTGTGGCCCATGGGCCTCTTGTTTATTATTTCTCCTGAGTCACTCACTTGACTTATTGCTATCTTCAAATTCAAAATGATCTTTTGAAATTGTTTTTCTTCTTCGACGTCATTGAAGCCTTTCAGGCTTTTGATTGTTTTACTCCAGATCGCAAGATTATGTTTGTAACAATTCCTCCCGAAAAGAAAATAAATAAAATTATAAAAACATCTGCTTGGACAGCCATATTGTTTACTAATAAAAGTGAGGAGTTCAACACTGAGTTCAACACTTTTACCAAAGTTTATATACTGGGTGAATTAAAAAAAAAAAGACCACCAAACTGAAAAATTTTGGAAAAATTCAACTATTTCTTACATATTTTTCATTTATATCATCATATTGCACAATGCATTCTAGCTTAAAATCCTGAAGTGGCAATAGGAATAGACAATTGGATTAAAAAG